CGGACACACATTTTCCCTGAGGCTGGGTGTAGATACTAGCATTGTGCAACACACCACGACAAAAGTCTTTCCTACTATCACAACATTTGACACCATCGAAGCGATATTAATCATGATTTCACAGCTCAGTATTTGTATTTTACTAGAGTGTTGAATAAATATTATAGTAAATGTAGTGTTGATAGTTTTTGTTGATGGACAACTATTTTATTGTGAACCCTTTATAGTATGGCACATATAGCAGTGGCTGGTGCATCTGGTGCACAATATACAACGAACACGGGTGTAGTTCAGCAATTGTTAACAACCTTGGCAATTTTCCAATGATATTAAACCGAGTGTGTTATATTTAGGTAAAACAGTGTTGACATATATACAGCTGGTTTGCTTATTGACTAAGTCTAAAATACTGACTAGTTTCGGTACACAGACTTTTGCTCTGGCTGTAGATGCTCAAGACTGGTTGTAGATACCTGTATGTATATAATGGTACCAGCGAAAATGTTGTGTAATATTTAGGTTGTGATGCATCCTTCGATGTTTGTATCTGTACTTTTAGCCTTTGCTAAAAAGGGGATTATCATTTTCTCTATATTGTACGTGATCAGTATTTGAAAATTTATTTATCAGCAACTAAAATTTGAATTTGTTTCTTAATAACAAAGTGGGCGAGAATTCAGAGTATGTATTGCACGTCCACAAAATTCAAAATAAACTTGATTGTGTTTCCCTATTAGCAGCATTAGCATCATACAGATTGCAAAATTGCAAATTTGTGAACAGAACAGATAGTGCCTTTATTAAAACTATGAATTGGTAAATATTTTTTCCTGAGATAAACGTCAAAACAGGACTAAAATTATTATAGCCGAGAACAATGCAATAAACATAATTTTGAAGTGCATTCATAATAATCTAGTGATATTATACACAAAATTATTGTCAAGATCGTGCTTTGTCACGAAATAAATTTAAATGTACAAAACAAAATACAAATTACCACACTAATGCATTTTACACATCCCCAATATAAATGAATAGCAACCAAAAATCGCTTTCGCTGTACACTAAATCTTTAACGTTTAATTTTTTTCTGTAATTCGCATAAGCACATGCATGAATAACAGAACAAATATGGCACAAATTGTATAACTGACAATTGTCTACATTTGTGCAGAATTGATGGAATGTAATTTAAATAACAATTTTAGGCATAATTTGCATAAATTCTTGCCAACATACATACAACACTATATTAAAATTTAAATTATGAAAAATATAAACAATAATAAATAAACTGGATATTTTTATAACATTACATGATTGTGTACATCCCCGACAATATCACAAATGTCTTTTAACTTAAAATGGAAACAGTCAAAAGTCAGCTTGTTAATCGCAAATCCATGTTTATTTGCTAAAGAGCTTAAATTGTTTTCAAAAGTCAATAGAAATACTTTACATCTGATTTTGTAATAAATTTTTAAATATATGTGTAATTAATTTTTCATATTGTTGATTTAATGTTATCACTTGTTTACTGTGATTTTCTAAAAATGCAATACAGACGAAACATAAATTAGTCAATATCAAATAAAAATACTGAAAACTACATTCACATGTATGAAAAATAACAAATATAATAAATAAATTAAAAATACATGCCGTATAAATTACTAATTTTAATGAAATTTTTAAATTATTAGAAATATTTGAGAACTCTTTAGCAGTATTCAACTTCGCCACAAATTGTAATTGTTTTGCATAACATAGAGGTTCGTTATTAGTGTATGCATATTATCATGGAGATGACGTGTTAACTTTATTCGAATAGATAGTGATATTTGCGTGTCATACGCACGAGTCCAACAGCTTTCCGCTCTATCCCACCGGACACCACATTTCACGAGATTGGCAAGTGGGCAGTACGCATCTGTCCCTAAGCTGCTATGTGTACAGCCGAACACGGTAATCGGGCCCACACTTTCCCTGGGGCTGGGTGGAGATACTAACATTGTGCAACACATCACGATTAAATACTTTCCTACTATCACATGATTTGACACTATGGGAGTTAATCCTGCTTTCTTAGCCTAGTATTTGTGCTGTATATTTTACCCTACAGTGATCCCATCGATATTGTTGTATTTTCTGTGCAAACATATTTCATTGTCACTTGGCTTCAATTATTTTTTGTCAACAAGAGCTTCACATATTCGCCAGCAATTATTACTAAATGTACTAAATGTGCTAAACAGGAAAGAGTGTTTGGAAGATTCTTTCTTATTAGAGGTAATGAATAGTAAACCAATGCAATATTGTTTGTGACTTGAATCAAAATGTTACTCAGTAAGTTCGTGAAACATTTTCAGTAGTCGAACATACAGTGTGTTTTTCCTACATTTGGTTTCCAAACGGACATGTTAAAATGCATCATTGTCCGTGACAAAAAAATGGTAAAACTCACTATTACTATTTTGTTCGTAAAGTCTCAAGAAAATTGTTAAATTCACTAGGTTCTGTAAAGATCTTAACTTGGACTGTGATGGCGTAGTTAAATAAACTACATATTTTCATTTCCTAGTTATCAATTTATTCCAAGTATAACATAATCTATTTACAAAAAATATTCGGACGACTTCACCAGAATAAACCACTGTTGAAAATTAGAATGCATGAACACTTGAATTATATTCCAGAAACAAATCACTGAAAATCAATTTAGTTTGAAAATATAAATAACTTGAACATATATTTATCAAACCTGTTTCAAAGTATCTATAGGTTGTAAACATTTACTTACAGGTTTCTGAAAAAACATATCAAGTTTCACTGACATGAGGTAAACACACATACACTAGAGGTGTTCGCAGCCAGTTTGGCTTTTTGGCTCAGAACTGGCATCAGATTCGGCTAATATGCTGAAAATTCACAAATTGGGACTCCAAAAATTCGGCTAGTGCGCGAAAATGAGAGTGAAATCAGCTGCATATACCCGTTTACAGTTGGAGTACTCCTTTACAAATAGCATACAATATATCTGAAAGCATGAATAATGTGAAAGGTAACAGCTGCATTTTTATAAT